ATACTCATAGTTATTACCTCTTACCCCTTACCTCAGGATTAATAAATAAAAAGAGAGTCAAGCGTAAAGGACTTCAAAATACCATGTCAGTAAAACTTCCACCTATTACAAAGTTTGCAGCTGGTAAGTAGCTTTATACTATGTTCTAAGAAATTTTTTTGTTGTTTTATACATGTTGGTTCTGTTTTACTAACAAATGAATTTGCAACTATGATTTAGAGATAAAACCAAGTACATTGCAATTTTGTGTAAAGATTAAAATAAGTTGCTTATAGCATGAATTTATTTCAGGCATTGTTATTTTCTGAAATAGGTACTGTTAGTAGTATTTTGATTTTATAGTCCTTTTCATTCTGTCATGTGGCTGATGTAATAAACGCCACTAAAGTGGAAGCATAAGAACTGAGATATAAAAACATGGAGCTATAACTAATCGACATTAAAGTACATTGATGTTTTAGTATATGTCATTGGAACAGGACTTCTTTCCAAGAAGTAAATTTTAGAAAAATATGTATAGATGATAGTTTAGTGAAAACTCTCAGGAAATAACTAGATATTATTTCTTTTGTTTTTTTTTTTTTTCCTTTCCATTTGTGTTTTTGGTTCAGGGTCTCACTACACAGCTCAGACTTGTAGTGATCCTCCTGTTTTTAGCCTCTCCAGGGCTGGGACTACAGATGTGCACCACTACACCCGGGCTTGGTTGCCCACTCAGCGTGCCCTGGGGCCGGGCCTGGCACGGCATGCAGGATGTGGGGTTGAACCCAGTCCCTGTGCTTGCCAAAGCAGGCGCTTAGTCCACTGAGCTATCTCGCCAGCCCATGTAGATATTTCTTTTTTATGGTTATTGTTTACTTTTTTTTCTTTTCCTTGACAATTCTCTTATTTTCTTAAAGCCTAAAGGATTTTTTGAAAACATCTGAATGCTATCAACTATTGGTTTAAAATCTTTTAGTTGAATCTTTACTACCTTCAGGATAAAATCTTTTCTCCATAAGGGCTTTGAAGACTGTCGTGCATCCCTAGTTACTTGGTATTCTCAGTTCTGTTCAGATGCTATTGGGCTTATTGGCAGTAGGACCTTCCCAACCTCTACCCTGCTGATTTTTACTGTTTGTACTGTTGTTTTGTTTTCAGGAAGCTATGTTATTAATTTCCCAGAATGTCTTAGTGAAGCTCTTCCCAGGTGCTCTTATAAAGCACTATCATACCATTAGACTTTCAAGATAATTTCTTGAATTAATCATTCTGCCATATGTACAACATCAAAACACATTGAACAGCATAATATGTAATTTTTACTTGTTAATTAAAAATAATAGTTTTTATATTGGAAGCTCATTGTTAAAAGAGGTAACCTATTTTACTGTTCTATCTCTGATATCTGATATTAAGGTGAAATATTAGACACTTAGTACTGAATGGGAGCATGCCAATCAGTTTATGATTTTAATTATTTTTAGAGGCAGCTCGTGAGAGTGACTGGGATGGTATCATTGCTTGCCATCTGGGTAAACTATCCTGTTCAACATGGAATTATCAGAGGTCTACAATAGGCTCTTACTTTCTCAGGCCAAAAGAATTGAAGACAGATGACATCACTGCAACAGTAAGTGGCTTGCTTTTTTAGGATATTTTCCCCCTTAAACCTGTCCTATGATAAGTTTATTGTACACAAGTTCACTAATAACATTGGTCAAAAGAAACATACAACATTTAGAAGTTTTTTCCTGTTATGTTTTGCACCTTGCAGAGATGTATTTAACTCTTTGAGGTTGAATGTGAAGGAGCATCCCAGTGAGTTTTTAATTTGCATTTCTGCAAAGATTTATGGTGTTTTGATGTGATCGTGGGTATTTAAATGTGTCTGTCCTTATACCAGTACTACATTGTCTGGTAGTTTTGTAAAGGTTTTAAAATCAGGAAGTGTGACTCCTCCAAGTTCTTCTGTTTTCCAAATTATTTAGACTCTTGTTGCCATGAGCTCTAAGATCAGCCTATCACTCTATGAAAAACAAGACGGCTAGAATTTTGACTCCAGATCACTTTGAATGTTGTCACTTCTGGCCCAGGAACCATTTCTCTCCACAGTGTTATACTTGTCAGTATATGTCTTTCTCTTCTTTGATTAAATGTTTCCTGTATTTTATTCTTTATAGTGCTACTATAAGTGGAATTGTTACTTTGGATTGTTAATGTTGTATCTTGCAACCTTGCTGGATTTATTCTAATAATTGCTAAATGGATACCTGTGCTTTTGACAGCACTGAAGAATATAATTCAACATTTAACCTTACTGGGTACAAACTACTTAAGTATGTAGGCTTTACTCTTAATAGTGTGAAAAGTCCATTTTAAGCGTTTATATGATTTTCTAAACCATACAGATTCTGTTTTATGTTTCTTATAGGTGTACCTATATACTTTTAAACAGCAATTATACTAGTAGTGGTAAAGGTAGGCACTAATATTTTATGAGTGCTTACTTTGTTCTAGGCTCCTTGTTTAGCATATATTTCATATTATCCTTAACAACTTTTCTGATATGGTCTGTTGTTAGCTTCTATAGATGATGAGATTGAATAGAGTGGCTGGGTTTTGAGCCTGTGACTATTCATTCTGGACCCTGTATTCTTAATGCTCTGTAATGATCATTAATAATTAGAAGTTTTAACATATGAATGATCATCCACTGGTGCTGAGTCCTTGCTCTAATAATCTCAGTTATCTAGAACAAGGCTAGCAATCAATAAGAAAAAAAACAAAAACAAACATTTTTAGACAACCCATGCACCAAAGTATAATTTGTGACCCAAAGGTACCTCTTACAGTTTCTTTTTACTTTGTTTATTGTGTCTTAGAAAATAGAATGAATAAATCAGAAAAGATTCCTCGAAGGAAAAAAAAAAGATTGCTAGAAGCAGGCACACAAACCACGATAAATCCTGTTAAATAAGATAAGTTCTAAAAACTAGTAGGGTGAAGATGGTCCTTCTTACTTACAGATTATAGTTTACTATCTCAGTTAGAAAGGAAATACCACTGTTCCTCCTGCGGCAATAATACTGCAACACCACATAAACATGTCTTAATGAAAATAGAGATTAAGTTTTTCGTTTAGGAGGATAGAATGCTTTTTAAGCATGGGTTTATTGTTTCCTATAAAACAATATATGTAAAATAATTTTTAATGGAATGACCTTTAATTATTCAGAAAAATATATGTTCATGAAACATTCTTATGTAATGTCCTAGAAATGTGGTATTTCGATGTTGCCACTCCTGACCCAGAATGGTGTATCAACTTCATGTTGCTTTATGTAGTTTTCATCAAATATTAAACCTTAAATATTTTCTCAGTTAAACCCCAATTAAATATTTTCTATTTTAGCCATGAAGCTTATCTGTTTGTTTAGTTGTAAATTCAGTAGTCTTTGAATGCTCTTTTGGGTGAGTGACATCTGACACACGAGTTGTTGGAGATCTTTCTGGTCTTGATCCAGTAAATAAGTAGCATGTCTTATGTTTTCAACACATATATTACCTTCCTAATGTCTCATAATTAAAATATTTTGGGGGGCAGGCAAGATAACTCAGCAGTCTGAAGCACCTGCTTAGGCAAGCTTAGGCAGGGATTTGATCCCTGCCACCACATGCTGCACCAGCCCTGCCCTCAGGCGGGTTAAGCTGGCCAAAAAAAATTTTTTTGAGGGGGTCTTTTTCTTCAAGCATTCTTACTAATGGTATATCAGCCTCAGAAGCAATTACAAGAGTAAAGTGTGGTAGGGAAAAGTTGGACTTTTAGAGTACTTTGTCTTTGACAGTGCTCAGAATAAATTAAAAGACCATCTCGATAAGCAGTTCTCCTGATTTTGTAAAATTCATTTGCATTAACTTGTTATATTTTGTTGTGTCAGACATAATTTATATGTACTTCTTTAAAAGTGGAATAGGGTTGACTTATGTCATTTGGATTTAAGTGTTATTATTCCCTTCCCTGAAGGCAGTGGATATAACTTCTTGTGGAAACTTTGCTATAATTGGCCTCTCATCAGGAACTGTGGATGTGTATAACATGCAGTCTGGTATACATCGAGGAAGTTTTGGCAAGGATCAAGGTATTAATTTATTTCTTTTTTTATTAAAATAAGTTTTAGATGGGTTATCACAACCCCATATAGCAGATACTGTTGTTACACTTGTTATAAATGTTATGTTGAATTAATCAAAGAGAATGAAGTCATGGTCATGTTCAGGGAAAGTAGGTGTTGTACAACAAATTTCATTTTTAAAAATGTCTGCCCGCCTGGTGGCACACACTTGTAATCCCAGCAGTAGGGAGGCTGAGGCAGGAGGCAAGTAGGAAGTCGGGAGCTGAGGCAGGAGTAGTAGTAGAGTGAAGACAGTCCTTTCTTACTTATAGATTATAGTTTACTATGATAGTTAGAAAGGAAATACCACTGAGGTGCAATCCACTGCACCTGCCTAAGCTTGCCTAAGTAGTAGCAGTAGGGAGGCCGAGGTAGGAAGCAAGTTTGAGGCCAGCCTGGACAAACACTGTGAGTTCAAAGCCAGCCTGAGCCACATAGTGAGACCCTGACCCTGTCTCAAAATAAAGAATAAAAAGAAGTAAATTTTTAAAATTTTATATATATATATATATATTTTATTTATTTATTTTTTTTAATGTATTTGGTGCAGAATCTCACTATGCAGCTAAGACTCATTTGTGATCCTCCTGTTTTCAACCTCCCCAGTGCTGGGATTACAGGTATGCACCACCACATATGGTTTTGGTGGCTGGCTCAGCGTGCCCTGGGGTGAGGCTGGCGTGGCATATGGTACCAGGGATCAAACCCCAGTCCCTGCCCTTGCCTAAGCAGGTGCTTAGTCCACTCAGCTATCATGCCAGCCCTGATTTTTCTTTTTTGCCTGAGCAGAATAAAAATTAAGAATCTTCTCCCTGTCCTCAAAAAACCTTATTCATTTGAAGACATAAGGGGCATAATGAAAATTTCAGTATTTGAATAAGAAAATTGCTCATGATTTATTGTTAAAATAGTCTTTGACAATTCTAACTTGTTTTTTCTTTTAACCTGTGCTTAAAAGCTCATAAGGGGTCTGTTAGAGGTGTTGCAGTGGATGGATTGAACCAGTTAACCATTACAACTGGTAGTGAAGGATTACTCAAATTCTGGAACTTTAAAAACAAATGTTTAATCCATTCTATGAACCTTGAGTCATCTCCAAATACGATGCTGCTGCACAGGGACAGGTAAATTCTTTAATGATAATAGATTTTCTTTATGATGTTTTTAGTACAAGTTCTTAAGTATGCCAGATTGCTTCCATATGCCAGATGGAAGAAATCAAACTGATAAGAACAGCATTTAGTTTAATTTCCTTAAAGCTGTATTTGATGAACAAAGTCTGTGCTTTTTGCGTATTAAACCTGGTGCATGTATCTTACTAGTGGCATTTTGGGACTCGCCTTGGATGACTTCTCCATTAATGTGCTGGACATAGAAACTAAGAAGGTTGTCAGACAGTTTGCTGGACACCAAGGCCAAATAAATGACATGGTAAAGCAAACCTCAGTTCCTTAAACACCTTGACTCATTTCTCCTTCTTCAGTTAAAAATGTTCAAACGATTCAGTCTGTCCTTTTAATAACCATATATTCATATGAAGGAACTTTCAAAATAGTAATTTGCAAAGATATTTTTAAGAAAAATTTGGGATTAAAAGTTTAATGTTTTTCAGGAATTCTTGTGATTAGACTCAAGTAATAAGTCCCAAATTTACCTTTTTTTTTTTCCTTTCTCTCTCTCTCTTTTGGTACCAGGGGATTGAACTCAAGACTTGAGTTTGCCAGGCAGGTGCTTCAGCTGTTGAGCTATGTCCCTGGCCTCCTGTTTCTCTTTAAGACATGTTTCATTAGTACATAAGTGTATCATTTTCTATTTCATTTTAAATAAGCTGAGAGAATTCATTGATCCTCTTTTACCTATCTAATGAATTAATAGTAGCCTAGACTAACTGGTTTGTTCTAGTTTGGTGTTATTTCTAGAGTTCATATATCATAACTCCAAAAGAATTTTTTAAAATTGTTGGTGGGTTTGTCATTATGTTCTTGTAGTGGATAATATACAATAGAAAGTAAACTATTTTAGAAAGCATACGTTATATTATAAAGAACTCTAAGTTGAGCGTGTTGGTTTATGTCTGTAATCCTAGTGATCTGGGAGGCTGACGCAGAGGGATCCCAGACTAGGCAACTTGGCGACTTAGTGAGACCTTGTCTAAAAATTAAAAATATTTAAAAAGACTGGGCATGTAGCTCAGTGTTAAAAGTACTGGGTTTAATCATCAATACCTTTTTAAAAAACCCTTAAATTTATAAATAGAGGGTTATATTAAATATATTTGTCCTTTGGCATTGCTTCCAGACATTTCTTGAAAAAAAATAAAAATAAAATCCCTAATGAGTGAAAACAACTATATTTATATATCAGGTCTAGCATAAAAAATCAGAATTTACAATGCTTTGCCTTTTGCCTTAAAAGTAGTGAAAATTGAAAAAAAAAAAAAAAAAAAAAAAACACCCTACATCTTGGAGGTTGGCAAAATTATCCATCAGCAGAATTCGTTTTGACAGCACCTATAGAAATGGGTGGTAGTGGAGTAATGCTAATAAAATGGAATCTTAAAAACATCTGTGTCAACTTGCTCTTCCTGTTTTTTTTTTCCTTTTCAAACTTTACTTTTCTATTTGATATCTGGAGTTTCTCTTGTTCAGTAGGAAGTTACTCCTATTCACTTAATTCACTTACAACATGACCTTAAATCTGACTGTTATTTCTTCGTGTCTTATGCTATCTTCCTACCTTTTGTAAATTGAGCAAGTTGACATTCACCTTTATTCTGGTATTATTGTTAGTATGGATGGTCATAATCATTATGTGTTTAGATTCCTGGATAGACAATGTGCTACCACTGTAGACCTTAAAATTTTTCCTTTTGAGTCTTTTACATCTGATCTGAGTGTCTCAACACTACGTGTTACAGTCAGGAAAAGCTGTTACCCACTTTATAGCTAGAAAATACAGCTGTTTTTAAAGATAGCATAAGTACTTCATTGTTTAAGTTGCTTTGGAAATCCTTATGATTATTATATTTTTAAGTTATATTTTAGAAGTGATGCAATGTTATGGGAAAAAAGGTATTTCTTTGTGGTTTTGGCTTTTTTTTTTTTTTTTTTTTTTAATTCTAGGGATCAAACTCAGGACCTTGTACAATGCTAGACAAACATTACCACTGAGCTATATCCCTAGCCTAGAAAAAATGATATTTTTTTTTTCCAGTACTGGGAGGGCCTGGGGGATACCTTAGTAGCTTAAGTGCCTGCCTGGCAAGCCCAAGGTCTTGAGTTCAATCCCGGTACCAAAAAAAAAAAAAAAAAATTGTAATATAGTACTGGGGATGGAACTTGGCCCTTGCTCTGAGTCATATCCCTAGCCTTCTTTTACTTTTTTCATGAAAAAAAGTAAAATAAAATTTCATAGTATAGTAGGAGAATAATAATACTAATACAGTGTAAGTAGTTCTCTTTCAAGTAGTTATTCAGAGTACAAGATATGGGCATAGAGAAACTCCTCCAGATAGTGTTAGCACAAACCTTTCTTTTCAGTGAACTATGAGAAACTAGTAATATGACTATCTTGTACCTTTTTTTTTTCTTTTCTTTTCCTTTCCTTCATTTCCCCTTACTCCCGTTCTATTTATTTTTCTTTTGGGCAATTTCTTCCCATTTTCTTGCAGCAGGGAGGTAATACAGTGCTTATACATGTAAGTCTGACTTATCTTTTAATTTTTTGAGACAGGCTCTCACTAAGTTGGCCAGGCTAGGCTAGAAATTGTGATCCTCCTTTCTTAGCCTTGTGGACTGCTGGGATTACAGGCATGTACTACCATCCCCAGATCAGAAAAGGTGATTTTTAAAGTTACAAATGGATGTAGATTTAGTAGCTTTAAAATTTGAATTTGAATTTTCTGTCTTCAAAATTATAATGATTTGGATTAACTCTTAGAAAGTCAAAAATATTCTTTATAAAGAAATAGAATTTTTATTTTTCAGAAATACTTTATACAAGAAATTAAGCTAACAAATTATTTTAGGTGAATAATCTCAAGAATACCATTTTAATATTAAACATGATTTGTAGGCACAGTTAAATTCTATAAAGTAAATGAGATTACAGTACAAAAATTGTGATAATTATTTTTAAATTTTTATAATTCATTTAAAAGACTAATTCTTGTAGTAGAATAGTATATAGGAAATGTTTTCTTTTATGAAATAAGGCAATCTGAATTTTGTTCATTTATTTTTTCATGAAGTCTGAATCAAATATGTGTGTGTATGTGTATACACACACCTATACACCCATACACACAGAGGAATACATATAGGCACATATATGTGCAATTTATTCATTTATTTATTTTAAAGACTTTCAGTCCTGATGGCCGATGGTTAATAAGTGCTGCAATGGATTGCTCTATTAGGATTTGGGACCTTCCATCTGGGTGGTAAGTTTACTTTTCAATCCCTCAGATGAATTTTCATTGTCTTAACATGTGACTTTTACTTGTAGTTAATGGGTTGTATAGTTAATGAATGTGAATGCATTTGGAGATTTTCTAATATGATTGTATCTTATCCTTAGAGTGTCTTGGGTCTCTAAGCAGTAGCATCATGAAATATAATAGAAAAGCACAGATTTAAGAGTCAGTTGTGTAAATTTGAAGAAAGTTCTGCAATAATACTTCAAGATGGTGCTCAAACTTTAAGTCTATAAACTGTATTTGAAGACTTAAAACTTAGCACTGAATTTTTAAAAATCCCAGTTTTTCTTTTTCTGTGTTACATATCTCTATCAATAGCATAGCAGTGTCAGAAAGTTGTTTTGTAGAGTGAAACTTGCTACTGATCCAACAGTTTCTCAGGAATTAGATAACCTCATATGTGAAAGCACTCTGACCTTTACAAGGGAAAACCCCTGACACTCTCATTTCCCCTCAGCTGTGCTATGGGCATGAGGTGCGCCTGCACACATCCAGAAGGTACCATTAGTGGATCCAGTGCCAATAAGCAGGGACTGTCCACAGGTGTGTCCTTTTTCACATGAAATAGAATAAAAACAAAATCTAGTTAGCTGTGTCCTCCAGCTCCAATAGGTGGTGTTTCCTAAATTAGCAAAACTTTTTAAAAACAGTATTAGAAAAATTGGCGATCTGTTGCACTTGGTCTTTTGTTGCTGTTTCCTAAAAATGAAGTCATGTAATTTGAACTAAAGTAAGAAATGTTGGCAAGTAATAAGGTTAAAATAATGCTTAGTTACAGCTAAGCTAACATTTACCTGGTGCTGCTAGATACTTTATGTTTTTTATTTTTGCCCATCCTAAAAATTAGTACTGTTACTGTTAATTACTGGCTCCATTTCACAAGTAAGGAAATAGAAGCTTACAGATAAATTTAATGATGTGTCTACAGTGGCTTAGTTTATAAATAGTAGAACAAAAAATAAATACAAGAGAAGGAAATGTTTTCCTAACAATTACGGTATCATCTTTGCTCAAGTTATGTCCTACATTCTAAGAATGGGCTGATTTTCTTGTTGTAGAAGATAAGATTTAGTATTTTATCATGCAACTTTGGTTACTGTTGAGGAATTTTTTTCTATTTTGTTTCTTCAATATAATTGGTATGGTACCCTTTGGAGATTTCTAGTCATTCTCTCATCATTTACATAGCAAGCCAAATAAAGAAAGAGTATATTTATTATGTAACCTAAAATTATGCAATCTGTGAGTAAGCCTTTAAATTCTGAAAATTTGTTGTTTGTAGACTCAGAGAGAAACAGTTGAGACTGTTTACCCTGGAAATTAGCTGTCATTTACCCTCCAACACCAGCATCATTACCACCAGTTTTTAATTTCTGTTGGGTTTTTGTTGTTTTACCTTTTAGAAATTCAGGTTGAACTCTTGAGGAGGGAGGATAATAAATATATGAAACTATCAAGTTTAATGAAAGAAATTTGAATTTTCTTTCATCATCTCCTCCCCACCTTTTCTGAGAGCTGATAACATAAGAAGAGTTGAGACAAAATATTGTTTTATATTTCTCACTGAGTGATTAATCATCCCTTTGTTGATTCCATTATCTTGAAGAAAGAACATACATACACTTTATCATTTTTCCAGAAAAATAATCATAAATAGCTTATAGGATGTTACTTTGATCTTGAAAATTTGATTCCTTACATTGGGAATATAGTTAATATTCTTCAGAAAAAATTTACAACATATTTGGAATTTTTCATACTGTAGGGATATCAAGAGACTATAGGAACTTATAATATGCCTGAGATTAAGGCTGCACACTTAAGTTATATGAACTAATATGACAGTGTAAAATAAAATATGCTGTGTATGTGGAAACTGTCTTCCTCAATTTGGTGTTTTTACATAAAGGAAAACCAGTCTACCCACACAGCACAACTGTAAAAATGAAGTTGCACAATGACATTGACAAAAAAATTATAGAGTAAAGCAAATTTGCTCACGTAATAAATTCTTTGCTTACGAAATAGATCTAAGCATGTTAGGAAATTTCACCCTCACATACTGCAGCTTACACAGAATAATATTGATCAGTACAAAGTAACAAGATGTGAAGTCGCTGTGATTTTTGTTTAATTTTAATTTGTATACTGGGTTAGTATCTTCTGCTCTAGCTTGTTTGGATTAAATGAATTAACATAAATAATTTATAGTCTGATGATGACTTGTTAACAAATGTTTTCTTTTTCCTCATTCCCTTAATCCCTAAGAAAAATCATTCTGTGAACTTCCAAAGTAAGCCTGAACCAGAAACAAGACAGCTTATTATTGCACTTTTCTACCACAACCAAGAACTGTTACTGTCCTGAGCACAGTTGGCCATTTGTTTCCAATACTCCTAATATTAGTATTTTTTTTCCAATCTTGTTTTCATTATTAAGGATTTATGTTTCTTTTTTTCTTTCTTTCTTTCTTTTTTTTTTTTTTAGGATTTATGTTTCTAATGGCTCTTTCAGCAAATTGAGAGATTTCTTATTATTGCCAAGTCACTTAATATCTCTACCACAGAGCTTTTTACATTTAAGCTGTTCAGTGTGTTCCATGAATCACCAGTGTAAACACATCCTGTTTATATATGCTATAACACTGCTTGCTGTGTCTTGTTTCAGTAGTGATTTTAAATAGGCATTAAATGTGGTTAAAGTTCAGACTGCTTGGGTTCAAATCTTGGCTTAGTTGCTTTGTCCCTGAGAAAATTTTGAGTTTTCTAATAATCTGTATAGAGAGGATAGATTTGCCTCATAAATTGCAAGGATTAAGTTAGTACATGCCAAGTGCTTGGGTTACTTTTCTAAGATAGAACACTGAAAATTGTGGTAGCTGCTGTTATCTTGCTTAAAATTAGTATAATCTTCTAAAGGTATCTTAAATCTCTTAAGGCTCTTGTTCTTAGTCTTAGAGGTCTTCCTGGCTTGATGGGGATTCATGTGGCCCTTACACCTTGATCCTTAAGTCCATTTCACTTCCAGTGGCTGCTATCCTAATCAGATTTGTCTTATTAAACAGTTACTAGCAAAGTGTCACAATTCCTTCTGATCAAATATATTTTGCATCCTGTTGGGAAATTGTCTTATGGAAGTAAAATTCATAGTATGATCTGTTCAGAAATCTTTACTAAGTTACTATCAATTTTGATGTAAAAACCTCTAAGCTAGATGATTAAAGAAACCTCTTTAGTTAGTTGGACCATTTAGTGTTCTGGGTCTTCCTTCTTAAAAGACATTATTTTCACAGTCACTTAGTTGATAAAGGTATTCATCAATAATAACTTTATGCCTGTAATTAAAAATACACACAAAAATTTCTTTAACATCTTAAAGTGGTGCTCAAAACTGGCTCAAGACCGTATATACATCTTATGCTCCTGCTTAATGATTCTACCCAAATGTACTCCTCACTCACCATATACCTAGTTGTATTTTTTCTCTCTTAACTCTCGCTATTTATCTCAGCCAGGAAATGTGTTCTCTGCTGTTAAAAATCCTTTGAAATCCTGTCTATTTTAAGGCTCAGCTGAAACATCCTGTTTTGTGTGAGACTTCTCGTGAGTCTCTTTACTTAAGTGTAGTCACTCAGTTTTTTCTCTCCAACTTTCAAACTCCTTTAGCAATTTGGAGGTGAGGGTGGGTATTGAACTCGGGGCCTTTGCACTGAGCAGTATTTCAACCTTTATGTTTTTATTTTTTTGTATTGAAACAATCTCACTAAGTGCGGCTGGGATGGGCTCAAATTTGAGATCCTCTTGTCTCAGCCTCTGAGTACTGGGCTTATAAGCATGCACCAGTCATGCCTCCATTCCACATTTTAAAGCTATCAGGCTATTTCCCTAAGCTACATTCTGATTGATTATTCGCTAAAGACTATATATATATATATATATATATATATATATTTTTTTTTTTTCATTTATAACGTAGTTACCTCTTTGGAAAACAATAGCTCAGAATTTTTTTCTGTTACCATTCTCTTATTTTGAGCCATTTTGTTTTATTACATTGATGTGTTATTGCAGTTTATATTTTATTTATTTATTCTGTATTTTAGGGAAGGGTCTACAGGGTGTTCAGGGTCTCACTACTAGATCGCATTCAGTGATTTTCCTGTTTATAGCCTCCCAAGTGCTGGGATTACAGGTGTGCGCCACTATCCCCAGTCTCAACTGCCATCTCAGCACACCCCAGGGGCAAGGACAGCACTGCATGCCCAGGATCGAACTGCAGCCCCTGGGTCTGCCTAAGCCGGCACTTTAATCCTCTAAGCTAGATGATTAAAGAAACCTCTTTAGTTAGTTGGACCATTTAGTGTTCTGGGTCTTCCTTCTTAAAAGACATTATTTTCACAGTCACTTAGTTGATAAAGGTATTCATCAATAATAACTTTATGCCTGTAATTAAAAATACACACAAAAATTTCTTTAACATCTTAAAATTTCTTTTATAGCCTTATAGACTGCTTTTTGTTGGACTCAGCTCCTCTCAATGTTACTATGTCCCCTACTGGAGACTTTCTAGCGACTTCCCATGTGGACCACCTTGGAATTTATCTATGGTGAGTTATTTCATATACTTATGCTTAGGAAGAAGAGCAAGATAGCAGCACTCCTGTCAGAGAATCATAGTTGTTAAAATTACTATTCAGTTAAAAAATTTAATGAATATTTCACGTATAGTGACACTTCAGTTTTCTGATGGAGTCAAGTTTGAACTTTCCACTACTTGAACAAGCAAAGTTTGAAAAAAATTCTGCTTGGTGTTTGTAAGTTTGTTTGGCAGTCAGACTGAAAAACCAACTTGAAAAACTGTACAGGTAGCTGGGGATATAGCTCAGTGGTGTAAGCACCTGCCTGGCAAGTGCAAGGTCCTGAGTTCGATCCCTGGTACTGCAAAAAAAGAAAAGAAAAACTGTACAAGCTGGGAAGGAGTCATGTATAGCATCTCATGGGGGATAGGTACCAAGGGGTGATGCTGCAGTCTTAAGTACTGCTCTTGCCCAGACAGCATGTAGTATTTGTGTTAGTGCATTAAGACATTGTCTTTGTTGTGTGTGTGTGTGTGTGTGTGTGTGTGTGTTTTGTTGGCATAAAATACTGTAACTATGGTTCCTAATGTGTGTGTGTGTGTGTGTGTGTGTGTGTGTTTTATTGGCATAAAATACTGTAACTATGGCTCCTAATACTAGTAATAAGGGTAGGAATAAAACTTAAAACCAAGGTAGTGTTAAAAGAATCATTGCATAATTTGTTAAGGCATGGAAAAATGAACTTATAAGTATAATTTTAGGGCCTCAATCAATTATTTGGTTTTCCATTGTTTCTTATGGGAAAAATATATTTATTCTTAAACTTTTGATGTTCGTGCACAAAGTTGGAGCAAATTGAGTTCAACTGAGGTATCACTATAGTTGACGCAGGTGGTTAATGCACTGTAAATCTATGACATTCAGTGTCTGTGTGATTATTTAACATCTTTCCTTACATGTATATTCTGAAGTACATGATTGATTTTTATCTGTTACCATATTTAGCTTTTATTTGCAGAAAGAGTAAGTAAATCTAAAACATTAAAAAGCCAGCCAGGTTCTTAATTAGTATCTTGCAGTTACTCCACCACTGTTACATGACCTTGGCCATTCCTTCTAAACTTCAGCCTGCTTTAGGGGGCCAGTGAGATAGCTCAGTGGTCTACAGCACCTGCCTAGGCAAGCTTAGGCAAAAGTGCAGGTCCACGGTTCAATCGCCGGCACCACATACCACACTAGCCCCACCCCCAGGGTGGGCTGAGCTGGCCACCAAAAAATACATACATGCATACATACATACATACATGGTCACCAAAACATACATACATACATACATAAATAAATAAATAATAAACTTCAACCTGCTTTATAAAATAAGTCCCATGTATGAGCTAAATGATTTTATTCTGGTTGCATGACTTTTTATAACGTGAAGTTATTCACAGAAATTTTTAGACTTTTATCTGAACTTCTAAGAAACTGTGATCCCTCAAAATGACAGATAAGTCAATGGGGTCTAGAAAAAATTTATCTGCTGTCTGAGTTCCTGTACCTATTAAGCTCTTACTGAGAAAGAAAAAAATGTTTTCTTTTCTAATTCTAAAATGTTATATTTTTAAAATAAAATGTAGATACGTAATAGGAATAAACTTTGTCCATCTTGATAAATTGAATAAGAAATCTCTTAAAATCTGAAACTTCAGATTAAAGTTAGAGAGTAATAGCTATGGGACCTCTGCGGCAGGAGTGTGGAGCTTTTCTGCATAGTACTATTCATATAACTCAAGACTTGAGATTCCTAATTTTTATTTTCCATTTGAGATTCATAATGGGTAGGAAAAAGAATACATCTGTGTTTTGGGAGTAGTGTCTATATTTTCATTACTCATCAATGAACATGTAGGGTAAGTAGCAGGAAAATAGCCATTTAGTAGATCATTCTAGGAAAAGAGAATCCATGACTAGTCAATATCCTCAAGAACATAAACAGAATATTCATTCTGAATCCATCTTTATTTCCTTAAGCCAGGGTTGGTATTTTTAAAACAATATGTAGAAGTTGTTTTACCTTATGAAGGTATAATTTGCTATTGATTCCTCTTAATCATATTTTAATCATACTATATTAACAACTGATTCTATTATTTTTATGCAGCTTTCTTGGGATAATATATATGACATAAAGGCAACTTTGTATTAATGCAGTCTGGTCTTTTCCTAACTAGTTAGTGTAGTATGGTAAAATGACAGATCATAGAGATTTTTAGCAGCTATTGAAATTTCTCTGAAGTAATTATTTTTAGATTTTTAGAATATTCTTTCTTTTTGATTTCATAGGTCCAATATTTCCCTGTATTCAGTCGTCTCATTACGACCACTTCCTACAGATTATGTTCCATCAGTAGTTATGCTTCCTGGTACTTGTCATACCCAAGGTAATCACGAATAGTGAAATAATTTTTGAAGTGTAATATTGTAACTCTAATTTAATGGCTGTGGGTTAGAAGACAAAGTTTAATGGATTCACTCAAAGGGTTTTAACTGAAATGAAATACTTTGACTTTATTTATACAAAGATATAATTAATATTATATCTGTATCAAATAACAGTGGTGTTGAAGTCTTTTGAGCCTAATGGTAGAAATTGTAGTTAATATGAAAAAATAAGGAAAAGGAACATAAGCCAAGGTAAATATTAAAAGTTTATGAGCATTAATGAGGGGCCATGTTATAAAATATAAATAGATGTAGGCTGAATTAAGTTACTTTTCTATGTAAAAATTTCATTTTGCACTAATTTATCTTAATTTTTTTTAAGATATGGAATTATCAGAAGAAAATGTAGAGCCAAGTGATGAAATGATAGAGTATAATTCACCAGAACAGTTGAGTGAGCAATTAGTCACACTGTCACTTCTCCCCGAATCACGGTGGAAAAACCTTCTGAATCTTGATATTATTAAGGTAATACTTACAGTACATGTAATACTGAGCTTTAAACACACCTGTAATATTTTTTAACCAGAGGCCATTAGGAGGGACAATGTCTCAGCAAAGACAATGGTATTGAATTGAGTGTATTTCATTTAGTGTGGCTTTCATAACGATATCCTCTGTGGTGTCAGCTTTGAGACTACTCTGGAGATGTGCATATGGCAGAATTACTATCTTTAGTTGTGATATAGAGCTTTTAAAAATTGTATGATTTTTACGGGGCCAGGGAGACGGCTCTGTAGAATAAGTGCTTCCCTGGTAAGCGCAAGGGCCTGAGTTCAATCCCTGTTCCGCAAAATCAAAAATTGTATGATTTTAAATCCAGTGTGATAAATTACTTTGTGAGCTTCTAAAACAAGAAGGCAAAAATGCTACCCTAATGTATCATACTGCTAGATGTTTGAGGATTGAGAAAATTTCATTAGGTTGTTTTTTCTTTTAGTAAGCTGCAGTTAACTTTATCAGTCGCTACTCTCTGTCAAGTATAAAAAGATTTTTACAGTTTATTGTGTAGGATCAGAGTTGTAGGTTTATCCTGTAGATCCCAGATAATACAGTTTTTTTGCTATATATGGCAGTGAGAAATAAACTAGGTCCCTTGGTCTTTGAAGAATTTCTATTTTTACATGAACAATGGTCATCTGTAGTATAAGTTAATGTGTTCATGAACCTAATTTATGAGTATAAAAATCATTTACATGGGTTGTTAGAGTAGAAATTTTCAAACTGTCTTCTAATAAGTACTGTTTTGTGAAACTCAATATGATTGGATATATGCAGCTTGTATTAAATCATTAAAGCTTATATTAAATAACAATGTGGGCTATGATAAAATGTTTAAGAAACACTGATAAGTTTAATAAGTACTAGTAATTATTCTTAGCACCAGAGATGATGCTTGGGTCTTAAGTAAGAAATCTTTTCCTTACTACATTATTGAGAAATTGGGTTTGAGTATAAAGGGCTGTGAATTAAGTGGGACTATGACTGGGAAACCCTAACATGTAGGTTAGTTTAAGCTCTAAAGAGAGTGTTTGATGAAATAGTTTTGAAAGCAAGGCATTAAAAGTACAAGTAAATGAGACCAACAAGCAAATAATGTCCATCTAATTGAGCAAAATTTTAGACAACTATGCTTTTCACTAAAATATAGTACTGCATAAATACATATAAAATATGAGCTAGTTATCTTTGAGAGAAAAATACAATATGTCTCCTACTAAATAAAAGAAGCTGAAATTTTTATACTTTGTCGTATGTGTAACTTTTCTACTGTTGAGTTCCCTTGTAGAATTAGTTTTCGGGTTCCTTATGGAACCTTTTCATAGCCTTTTATTTTTTTCCAAATCAGTAAGTGATTCTTCTAACTTAAGAATAAGTTATAAGAATACTTGACTACTATAGTCTACCATGTTAGAGGGCTGTGCTTAACACTGCAGCAGTGCATTGTCATGAAATGATACACAGGTCCATGAGGCCACAAATATTCCAGGCTTACTTTTAAATAGAAAGTCTCCTTAGGGCAGTGGTGGCAAACCTGTGGCACTGTTCCTTTGTGGGCTGTTCATTAACACTGAAAATTACAGAGATTCAAGAGAATAAAAAAATAGTATTAAGGTAAAATTTTGAGGTTGGTTTATTAGGCAGATTACCATAGACAGTCCCTTTCCTCAAATATTCCTGTGATAGTGATATATAGAAATGTATTCATCAAAACTTAGTTTGTTTCATTGGAAATTCCAATAGAATTTTACTAACACTTGAAATATTTTTTTCTATAATTTTATTGAGAAATAGCAATGAGACAGTTTCAAATCAAATTGGTAGGACAGTTCCATTAATTAACACATTGCATACTGCCTTCCTGGTGGTTATTTGTTGTATAAGATGCAGACACAATTGAAATATAAACCAGCAAGTTTTTGTTTAAGAATAAAAATACTAACAAAAAGTAAAAACTATAAGAAAATGGAAAAATTAGTATTGTGCTTCACAAAAATTTTGCCAAATTTCCTCTACTGCAGGGTGTTGGCTTCTGGCTCTTTTTTTTTTTTTTTTTTTTTGAGAAAGTTTGAGAAGCCACTCTGTGTAGAAATCCTATTCTGTAGCCCGTTTTGTTTGCAAGGTTGTATTCTGTATAAAAGGTCATTTCAGGAAGATAAACTTTGTTGTCCAGCTGCTTCTGCACACAGGTAGATTCCTTTTGCCTTAGTCAGCAAGAATACTGGAGACTGCAGGCTGCACTGGGAAGCTGAGGTTAGGAATAGCCGTGGTATCTGTCAAGTGGAGTTTATTCTAACATTCTAATCTGAAGTTTGGTTCCCTTTGTACTTCTTGGTATTGTCTTAGGTTTGATTTGTAATTAATAATAGGATAATTGCTAATTTTTCTCATTCTCATTTTCTCTTAATCAGAAAAAGAATAAACCAAAGGAACCACCCAAAGTACCCAAGTCAGCACCATTTTTTATTCCAACAGTTCCTGGCCTTATACCTAGATATGCGGCACCTGAACAAAATAATGATCCCCAGCAGGTAAGAGCCAGATTGGAGCATTAGATATATGGAGTTTTTGTTTACACATATTCCATGTAGATCTGTACTAAACCCAGTTTTACAAATATATAAAATGATAGCTTTTAATTGGCAAGCTATACGTTATTGACTTTTTTTTTTAATAATGTTTGTTTTTCTTTAAGTCTAAGGTAGTAAACCTGGGTGTTTTGGCTCAAAAATCAGATTTCTGTTTGAAACTTGAAGAAGGATTGCTAAGTAATAAGTGTAAGTTAAATTGTATTTTAACATGTATCTTTACCATGTTTTACTTAATGTGAAGGAAACTGGAAAGAAACACCAGCTTTCTTAGCTAAAAAAGAGGCTAGTAAAAACAAAAGGTTGAAATTTTGGGTTTCATCTGAACTAATATTAGCTTTTAAGTTATAGTATATTAAATGAGTGATACTAAATTCAGATGATAACAGTGTAAGTTTCTTGAAAATCTTTCACATTTTCTGTATGGAGAGTTAAAGTTTTTATTTTGAAACTTGGGGATGGATACATTTATTGATAATTTTTTTAATAAGGAGGCCTTTAATATGTACCAAATATAAAATTTTGTTGTCCCTAGTAGTTTATATGCCTTTTGTTATTTACAGGTTTGATTTGCAGTAGTTTTTAGTATGACAAAGGCTTGTCATAATTTCATATTTTTGCTAATTACCCTATAGAAATTTTGTATATATTTAAATGTGTTAATATATTTAAATGAGGTGATTGTGAGTAATAACTGGAATTTATAAAAAATTTAATGCAGATGAAATTGCTCTGAACCTTCTAAAAGAATTAGGACCCTCAGGAATTGAAACAGAACTGCGAAATTTGTCTCCTGATGGTGGTGGGTCTATGGAAGTAATGCAGAGTTTCTTGAAAATGATTGGAATGATGTTGGAAAGGAAGCGTGATTTTGAGTTAGCACAGGCATACCTTGCATTATTTCTAAAGGTAAGTCTCATGTGAGATATTTCCATCCTTTCTCCTCAGAAGCTGTATTACCTAATAGAACTTTCTGTTACCTAATACATATTACCTAATAGATACAGAATGATCTGTATCCACAGTGACCAACATGACAGCCACTTCACATGTGTAATTCTTGAATACTTGATTGTGGCCAGTGTAACTGAGAATCTGAATTTTTAATTTTATTTAATGTTAATTACCATATTAAATAAAATTAGAGTAGTTGGACTATGCAGCATGATAGTTTTTTTCCCCCATGTAACAGCACAAAAATTTAAACTGTGCTTCTATATTTTCCTATCACCTACCTGTTCCAGTGTATTGATCCATTAACTTTAGTGTTTTTTTGTCTGTCTGTTTGTTTTAAGGGAAGGTTCTACGGAGTGTTCAGGGTCTCACTACTAGATCAGACGGACTCATAATGAGCCACCTGTTTACAGCTTCCCAAGAGCTGAGATTACAGGGTGTGCCGCCACGCCCAGTCTCTATTGCAAGCTCAGTGCACCCCAGGGAATTGAACCCCGGGCTCCTGGGCGTGCTTGTGGGTGCTTTAATCCACTGAGCTGTTTGGCTAGCCCAAGTAGTGATATTTTGTGTAAGTTTCTGTGATCGAGAGCCAGGCTTTAAGATGTTTTTCTTCTACTGCTGAAATCAAAATGCTTGCCTCCATCAGAATTGGAATTTAAAGTGATTTGGCACAAGATAGTTGCTTTTGTGATTAGCATAATTGTGAAAGCATGTATTGAAAGTCTATCTTTATTTATTCCATTAATACACTAAAACGGGGCCAGGGAGATGGCTCAGTAGAATAAGCGCTTCGCTGGCAAGCACAAGGGCCTGAGTTCAATCCCCGGTTCTGGAAAAAAAAAAAAAAAAAAAAATTAAAATATTTTTACTCCATCTCATCACTTAAAAATCCCTAAAAGCTAGAAATTTAGATAGCAGCCTAGGGCATTGAAAATTACAAGTTTGAATTGCCTTTGTTTTTTCCCACATTTACTGTTTTAGTCACTTAATTTGAACTTACCTAAAAACCTTTAGGAAATAAAGAGCCCATCTGCCATTCATTACCCGTGGATTATGTTGAGAGGAGAATTTATGGAAGCACAGAAATGTGGAATTTAATTCCCAATACCACAAAAATGAAGACCTTGTTTCAGTATTTTGGTATGGTGGAGAAAAATAATGAAAATTTCGAGGAGAGAAAGAAATTAGAGATAGTAATAAACCAGCATATAGTGGCACATGTCTGTTAATCCCAGCATTTTGGAAGCTGAGGCAGGAGGATCACTTAAGTTCAAGGCCAGCCTAAAGTATATAGCAAAACCCTCTTTCAAAAAATCCCAAAATAAATAAACAAGCCATCATATAAGATACAGAGTATCTTTTAATTTCTTTGTGAGGAAATGAAATACAAAATAGGTAAAACTTTAGTTTCATTAAATAAAATATCCAACTATTATAATTTTGTTTTCAGTTGCATCTTAGAATGCTTACTTCAGAACCAATACTCCTAGAAGAAATGACAAAATTATTATCACAAGTGGAAGAAAATTGGATTCATTTACAGTCACTCTTCAATCAAAGCATGTGTGTTCTAAATTATATCAAAAGTGCTTTGTTATAAACTTAAGTGAGTAAAGCATTCAAAAACATAAATGGTTTCAGTTTAACTCCTTTGCTTTTTAGGTTCAGTATGAAAAGAAGTGCTAGCTCTACTTACCTAGTCAGTAATTCTCTCCTTTAAATCTTAGTACTTTCTTGAAATAAAATTATGCCTGCCTTTTATTTTGAAGGTGTAAACAACATACTCAAATGACTTATTTGAATTTTATCAAATTCCTTTCAGATGAGTTTTTTATATTACCATCATGTTTTTGAGTATATTACAGATAAGAGATGGCTGTGTATTGTAAAATTGTGCTGAACTATATTGAATATATCAGATGAAACAGATCTACATTATTATAAAAATGCCTTTATGATCTGAAGATAACAGTTTTCTTCATGGCTTTGAGTGAAGACCAGTTTTAGAAGTGGAAGGCAGGTCAGATGTCTCCTAGGACACTCTTCTTTGCCCAGAGTTAAGGTGAGGTCGTCTCACATCACAGTGTTACTGTGCTGCCTACTGCTCGCTCCGTCATTGTGTTCTGAAGGAAATTGTTCTTGGATCAGAAATGTGAGGCACACTGCCCATCTAAGGCAGATTGCATAAGAAAAGGCTGAACACATAGATACCTAGAATAGTGAAGGGGGAATTCCAGATTCCATTGAAGGTTTTGCTTCACAGGTTTTTCTTTCTTTGCTAGTGACCTGTTTATTTGGCAAGAAACTACTGGCTGTATCTTTCTCTCACAGATTGTGAAATACAGTAGTTCTGTATTTCAGTTTTCTTTTCTCAGTCATTTTCTTTAGTATGATTCAATCTTTAGCAATTCATAAATGAAGAATAAGCATTTCTTAAAACAAGCAGTTTTTTAAAATACAGAGTTCTAACTATTTTCAATTTACTTTCTCTAAAGTTGTGTTGCTCCCAAAATGGACCTGGCTAGATTTGATGACTAATGACATTCTTGATCAACATTAGGATAAAGAGTTTACAAACTAATGTACAGACAAGATCAGTCACTTAAAGGAGCTAGCCAATGAGAATTTTAGTAGTATTTTTCTTAAGAGTATATGATATAATTAGTTAGCTAAGGAAATAAACCAGTCTGGCTTTATACTTATTTACTTTTCTCTTAAAAACATATGTCAATTTATTAAGTCACTATCTGAAATGTTAATAATATGTGAAGTTTTGGCTAAAAACTGTATTATATTTTCCTTTGTCTTACATACAGTAAGGGTAAAACTCCAGTACATAATCATGTGCCTTGTAAAGATTGTAAATAATACAACCAACATAAGAACTGTTATATTTCTTTTGTAACATGTGAACTGAATTTTCTTGTCTTCAAATGAATATACAGTTGAAAATGTTGCTTTCATTGACAGTATCATTAGGTAGTATTTCCACATTATTTTAGCAGGTGTCCCTTCCAGAACCTTTCTTGTGCAGTTGCCATCAAGGGACAGAGCACCAGTGATGTATAAAGTATAATTGTGTGTCTGAGTTTTTTTTTAAATGTCAGTCTGTGCATTCTGTTTTATCTTTCAGGTTTTTGTTTCTGGTGGAACCGGGGATTGAGCTCAGGCCCTTGCACTTGCCAGGCAAGTGTTTATTCTACTGATTTTAGTTAAATATATATATATATATATATATATATATATATATATATACACACACATATATATGACTAATTTTGTTTTTAAATGTATTACTCAAGTCTTTTGACAATAAGCTTTAATCCTCATATATAGCCTCAAAAAATAAAATATATGTCAGCTGGAAGATAGCTCAGCAGCATGAGCTCCTGCCTGGCAAGCGCCAGGTCCTGAGTTCAATCCCCAGTACCAAAAAAAAAAAATGTATAATTTAATTTTTACATAACGATATATTACTCATTCTGCAGCTTGCTTTTCCTACCCTTACTTCATTCCATTGAAGTTTAACCTCTTTACTTTTACATCCTGCCCCACAATCCTTTTGCCTATAGTGGATACATTTTTTCCTCCCCTCATTGTAAAGAGTGCTGAAGTGAACAGTTTGTATGGGTCTTTATGCACTAGTACATATGTTTAGAGTTTGAATTCTCTGGCCAGAAGACAAGCAGTTTTAATTTGAAGAAATACTTTTAATTGGCTTCCACAGTGGCTATACCAGTATATACTTTCCCTTGACAAAGAATGAGTGCCTGTTTTGTCCTATGATGGACATTTGATTTAGATCTTTTTATTTTTTATTTATTTAAAAACTGAGGGGCCGGGGAGATGGCTCAGTAGGATAAGCGCTTGACTGGCAAACGCAAGGATCTGAGTTCAATCCCTGGTTCCGCAAAAAAAAATAAATAAAAATAAAAACTGAAAAAAATATTGTATTCAGAAGTTCTTAGGGGCTAGGGATATAGCTCAGTAGAATAAGTGCTTGACTGGCAAGCACAAGGGCCTGAGTTCAGTCCCCGGTTCTGGGAAAAAAAAAAAAAAAAGAAGTTCTATGCACTAGTAAGGGTAAGCATCTTTTTATATATTTAATTTAGGTTATTTATGTTTGTTTGTGAATTTTCTTCTGTTGTTCATTTTCCTGTTGAATATATGTCTTTTTAACTCGATTTTAAGTTGTATACATCTTACATGCTGATCTTTTATAGCTATTTCAGTGTTTCTCCCAGTCAGCTGCTTGTCTGGCTTAGCTTATTTTTACAGATGTTTTATATTTTTATAGTTAAATTGAGAAAGTTTGTATCTTATTACAAAATATGCTATAAATCCTCTATTTTCTAAGACACTTATCATGTGTTTATATGTGTTCATTTCATGGCTATTTATATTTTCTTCGAAGATGAACTTTTTTTTTTTTTTTTGTGGAACCGGGGATTGAACTCAGGCCCTTGCGCTTGCCAGGGAAGCGCTTATTCCACTTAGCCATCTCCCCGGCCCGAAGATGAGCATTTGAGAAGTAATGTCTACATCTGTATCTCTGATTGATTTCTATGAAGAAGTTGAGCCATAGGCCTACCTTTATCCAAAAGTCTATTCAAACCTCATTTCTTAGAAAGTACCTTTGTTTCTGATATGCAGTGCTACTTCATTATGTACTAAATTATTTTATTGAACTTTTTTATATTTCTAATAAATAGTATATTAGTTTGATTCTAGTTTGGTGTGCTTTCAGATTTAGTGGGGTAGAGCATTCCTGATGTTTTTAAAAAAGTTCTTAGCTGCTGAGTGAGTATATCTTCTTGAAGTCTGATTTTTTTTTTTTAATTTTGCTAAATTTATAGAGTTGATTTGTGGCAAAGTATACTACTAAGTACTATTTTTTTTTTTTTTTATGTGTGTGTATGTGTGTGTGTAACCAGCTCAGCCCACCAGGGGGCGGGGCTGGCTGGCATGTGGTGCTGGGGGATTGAACCACGGTCCTTGTGCTTTGCTAAGCTTGTTC